GTTGCACTGAGGGATCTAGGTGCCCTGAGGCCAGGCAACTGTTCCCAAGCTCCCAGGATCAGGACTGTGGTCTGTGGCCCCCGCTAGAGAGGGGACTGACGTGGCTCTGACTTCTCAACTAAAGTCACAGAACGTGGCTAGGGGCTCATGAGGTTGTGAGGTGACACCATTGTTCAGGGCTCTGTCAAAGGGAGAATATACTCAGTGTTGGAACCATCCACAGAGAAGGTTCCTGAAGTCTTCTGATAGGTTTCCGTTTTCTTCACCAATGCCAGCGGTTCGGTTTATAGCCCAAGTGCCGGAGTCACGAGGGCAGCAGGGGCGCTAACATGTAGTGTTGCACAAGATGACCTTGACAATGAACACTAAAGGGCCGAGCATGCTGACACAGGCCTGTCATCCCCGCACTTGGTGGCTGAGGCAGGAGAATCCTGAGTTCCTTGCAAGCCCCAGCCACATAGTAAGACCTCCCCCTACAAAGACTGGACTCTGACCCCCCAGGAGTATGTGTCCTAAAAGAAGGACGTGGGTGGATTAGTCTGGTGTGCACCGAGGACCTAGGGGCAGCCTCTGAGGTGCTTGGCCCAGGCTGCACTCGGAGCCGCTCTGTCCGGGTACTGCCGTTCTCACCTGCTCTGACAATGCCACGGTGCCCTCTTTGTGTTGTTTTGTTGCTTTTGTTTTCGGGAATAGGGAGGGACTTGTGTATCCCAGGCTGGCCTCAGATTCACTATGTAGCTGTGGATGGCTTTGAACTTCTGACCTCCTGCCCCCTCCTCCTGCTGGGATGTTAGTCCTGTGCCACCCTGAGGACAGTGACCCGGGGAAGGGGCACTAAGAGTTCTAGAAAGCCTAGGTTGCTGACAGCTCTCTAGAGTCAAAATGCGCCCTATACCTCTGCAGTGTCAGCTCTCAGCTCCAAACAAGCCTGGCCACCACTTCAACAGGGACAGGCAGTGACCATTTGCATCCGTGATCAGTCCCCATGCCCAGCACCCGGTCGTCTCTGGCCAGACTGTCCTGCCCAGGGCCCTCACAGTGGAGCAGCAGGGGCGGGGCCTGGGGTCTAACCCTTGCTCTGCTGGCACTGTGCCCTGTGGCCTTATTAAAATAAGAACTTGACATGCTGATGACCACTGCCTGGTTCTGTTTGGACAATCCTAGGGATTAAATCCAGGCCCATGTATAATTTTCAATCCTGGCCTGGTGGCAGCGGCGGCGGCGGGGGGCACATCTTTAGTCCCAGCACTCAGGACACAGAGACAGGTGGATCTCTGTGAGTTTGAGGCCAGCCTGGTGGACAAAGTGAGTTCCAGGCCAGCCAGAGTGGTTACAAAAAAAAAAGAAAAAAGAAAACAAGCAAACAAAATTTCAATCCTGGAGCCCTTTTATTTTATGATGAAAACAGGAACTCCCTGTGTAGCCCAGGCTAGCCTTGAATGGGCACTCTGCCTACCTGTGCCTCCCCAGTGCTGGACTCACAAGTGTGTTCCCACACCCAGTTTGGGTGTCTGTGTCTGTGGTTCCGAGTGTGGAGGGGGAGCCTAGCCTGGGATCTCCACTCGGGAGCCCCTGCAAAGGCGCCCTCCGCTAACCCCATCGTGTAGACGTGTCCTCTGCACTTCCTGTCTTCCTTCCCTGGCTTATTTCCGCCCCACAGGCAGCACCTCGAGCCTTCTGACTCTGAGCACCCATGTTTCCACAGCAAGAATGCCAGCTCCGAGGGAGGGGGGAGTGAAGCTAGGGTCCGTCATCACTGCCATGGCCCCCGGGACTTGGCGTGTAGTAGATGTTCAATAAACATTTGCAGAAGGAGCGGCTGGGGGACCAGGCATGAAGCAGGTCTCTGTGGCTGAGGAAGTGCCCGAGGAGGAAGGAAGCTGTCCTCCACACCTGGCACCTGTGGAGGAATGCCCAGCCAGCCAGAGGAAGGGTGGGCAGGAGTGGGGGTTCAGATAGAGGGGTGTGCAGCCGGCTTGTGTATGAGACTGAGGGCCTCTCGGGTTGTGTAGCCCAGGTGCTCTTTCCCAGGAACCCACCCCACCCCCACCACACACACACACACACACACACACACACACCCTAGGTAGTCCCTGGGCCCAGGTAGAAGTCAGCACACACAAAGGGCAGCTGTCCCTGGAGTTTAGGGGAAGCCTGGGGCTTTGATAAGGTGGGTAAATTTCAAAGGGGCTGCTAGGAGGGGGGTCAGGGCTGCTGATAGCGCCCTAGCTGCGGGCAGTCCCTCCACCCCAGGGGCCTCGTGGCCCAGCCCCTCACACGGAGCAAAACAGGCTTGATTGTATTCTTATCGGACCTGTGGTTTTGTAAGGCCCAGCAGGCTGGCTGGCTCTGCGTCAGTAGGGGAAAGGCAGTAGCCAGCTCCCTGGGTGAGGGCATGACGTGGGCCACCACCTCCACCCCCTGCCGAGGCCTGGGGTCCACCTGGTGCTGGGGCAGGGAAGGAGGAGCAGCTAATGCCACACCCCAAGCAGGGGTGGCTGAGAGTTGGCTGAGTTCCATGCCTGGCTCCCCACCTCTCAGCACAAGCTCCGTGCCTCAGTTTCCCCACTGGGATTAATAGGAAGCCAGTGACAGCAGTGTCCTTCAGTGTGGAGACCATTGAAGATGCTTGTCTACATGTTTGGGAACCATGGCCCAGCAGCTGGCTCACAGCCAGGACAACCTGGGACACTAGTGGCCTGGGTCTCAAGGTTGCACAATGTGGGCTCCCTTTTCCATCTGAGTGCTCCAAGCCACCTGCAAAAGCTAACCCCTTCAGATGCCCGACCTCAAGGAGACACAAGCGGGTTCCCACCTCCTCGGCCTGCTGCCTACCATGTACACCTTCCCGGGCTTGCCTACCGTACCTTCCAGCATAGACATAACCCCTCTTAGCCATTGTCCTCTTCTGCTGTGGGCATCCAGGACAGTGCTGGACCTAAGGGAGCTCAGTGCCCTGTGTGAGCGAAGAGATTCATGAGGACCAAGACCAGGCCGGCCAAGTGCGGCTGTGCTTCCTAACACAGGGGTGAATGGATGAAGAGGATGCTGTCCCTGTCGGTGTGTGCGTTCACGTGTGCAAATGTCCCAACCAACCCAAAGTGTCCCTTAGAGCTCATCTCTGACTGCAGGCTTGCCTGGACCCCTGAGGGCCACCTCATCTCGGGTGTGAGCAGGCATTGGCATTGAATGAGTGGGAGAAGCTACGGGGGTGGGGAGGGGCGGATATGGGGTGGGTAGCAAGGCCTGGATACAGGGAATAATGGCCTTTCCCCTGGAGTGTCTCCAGAGTGCATCTGCAGGCAGGGGAGGGCATGGTGGGGAGACCCTGGGCCTGGAGAGCTGGGTCCAGTCTGGGACAAGGACAGGAATTGTGGCATCTTATAACTGCCCACAGAACCAGACGGTCCAGAGGTGACTGTCCTTGGACCAGTTGCTGGGGGCTGTCTGTGCCCTCTGTGGCAGACACAGGGGGACTTGGGCTGCTAGGCCAAGCACAGAGGAATACCTGCTAGTCTGGATTAAGCAAGGAGCCAGGTATGCCTGGAACACGAGGTGACATGTCCCAGGTATGAAAACAGCCACTTCCTGGGCCATTCCTGGTCCCTGTGTTCCCTACCCAGGCACAGCCTAAGGCTCCCTGCTATGTCTCAACCCTAACCCTGGCAAGCCAGTAAGCCTCTGCCTAGCACCTGTGAGTGAGTGAGCCACATGGTCAGTGACCCCAGGGTGCAGGCTTACTGGCATCAGTTACCTGAGTCAACACTGGTGGGAGCACAAGTTGGGGTCTGGGTTCATATCTCAAGCTTACTGTATGTTCTGAGGCCTATTCCCCAGCCTCTCTGGGCTCAGGGTATTTGTCTCTACCACGTCCACTGGACAATGCCTAGAGGCTCATGAACTAGGCTTCCTGATCATCCTGTCTTTCCCTCGTGGTCCCCTCAAGGTGAGAACACTGGGTCCCTCACCACAAGGAAGGAGCCCCAGGCCCCCAGCGTTTCTGCCTTCCTGAAGCCAGAGCCTGGGACTGCAGGACGTGAGGATCCCATCCCTCTTGTGCTGGAATAGGCCCAGACTTCTTTCTCCACCGTTATCACAGACTGAAGTTCCTAAGAAAGCCAAACACAGAGAGGACAGGAGTTCTAGGAGATAAGACAGAGAGCCAGCCAGGAAGACAGCTGTCTGCCGACAGATGGACAGACTGACAGTCCTTCCCAAGCTGTGTGCACAGCCTTTAAGTTCGTGCAGGGTGAGTCTCACCTTCACTCACAGAACACCTGGGACTCACCTCCATCCCACCATTTGAGTACAGTGTCACTGTCACCCTGCCCTGGACCGAAAGTCCCAGCTCAAGGACTCCACACTGGGCTGGCAGGTGGGGAGGGTGTGCCAGCCAACTGCCCCAGACCTTGTCATCCTGGGTTTGATGGTTGCCCTAGTGGAATACACCGGAGGGTATGCTGGGAATACAGGTAGGAGGATTGCCAAAATCAAGGCCAGCCTGGGCTACAACATGAAACCGTCTCATGAAAACACAAGAGCATAAGAGAAAAGAAAGCCCTGGGTGGTGCTAGCACACACCTTTGATCCCAGCACCCAGGAAGTAGAAGCAGGCAGATGTCTGTGAGTTCAAGGCCGGCCTGATCTACACAGAGTTCCTGGCCAACCAGCTACATAGTGAAATCCCCATCTCAAAAAACAAACGCCAAGTTGTGCTCCTTCGTCTGTGTTCAACGTCTTGAAGGCTCACAGAGCCCAGATGGAGAGAGTACATGCTGCTTTGGAAGGCTGAAGAACAGTCCCAAGACAGACACACTTGGACATGGGGACGACGAGGGACCCTTATGTGGAGGGTAGAATAGGGCAGGTGTGACCCTCAGCAGACTCCTGAGGTCTGCACAGAGAGGGCAGGCTCTGGCACAGCTCATCTGCTGCAGTGGCCAAGGGGGTTAAAGAGTGGCCTGCCTCGGGAGCAGAGCAGGAGGCGGGAGGCTGGTGTTTTCAAGGGTCCATGCAAGGGACCCGAGACTGGATCCTGAGGAAGAGCATCCTGGACTGGTCAGGAGACCGGGGTTGTGAGTTTGACTCTGCACCACAGCTGTGACCTTGGACATGACATTTCCTGAGAAGTGGGCCAAGCGTGGCCTTCCTGGAGGGAGCCCTCCGGGTGATCTCCCCTCACTGAAGCCCTGAGAGTCAGTCCTGCTGTGCGGGGGGTGGTGATCACCAGTTTCTGTTTCCTGGTGACCCCAGCAGAACCACATCTTTTGAGACAGAGTTACCCAAGGTTGACCTTGAACCCCTCCTCTACTTCCTGAGTGCCCATTCATGCTGAGGAAGCACCAACTGAGCCACATCCCTACCCCCCCCCACATCCCTACCCCCAAAATGTATTTCTTGGATCAAAACCCAACTAGGTGCCCTGACATCACACTGGTGGATAAAGATAGAGGAAGAGTCCCCAGGCACCCTGGGAGTTGAGGATGGAACCCAGCTGACCCCTCCACCCAGCATCATGACCATACCTAGCTGCAAGGGAGGCTGGAGTGTGTTCACTCCAGGTTGCCATGTACCCAGCTAAAAATCACCAGCTAAGGAAGGGGGTAGGAGGAGCTCGAGATGAGAACATTTTGGAGCATGCAGTAAGCCCTGGACTTTTCCCCTTGACACTCGAAATGGAGCACCAAAGACAGCCTGGATCTGTTGGCTGGGAAAGGAGGAGAGTGTGCATGGAGTCCCTGGCTTTCCCCAGCTCCCATCCACTCAGGCATATCTGCAGCAGCTGAGTCTAAGGCCTCAGAGCACTGTGCTGGGAGCACCATTGTCTGTGGGGACAAGGGCATACCTGGAAGGCAGAGGAGCAGGGGACAGGAAGGTGTAGGAGTCACTGGGGAACATAGAGGCCTTTTGCTTACTGGCCCTGGAGGACTGGACCCCTGAGGATCAAGAGTGGTTGGTTGCAGCCCTTCCTGAGTTTTGAATTCCCTCCTCACCAAAGGGCCAACGAGGACAGCAGCTGTGCTCGGGGCTGTTGGAAGATGTTGGTGGGTGTCAAAGTGAGAGGCTGGCCCTGAAGGAAGCCAGTGGGAGGTCACACTGCTACTTATGGAATCTGAAAGCTGCAGTGAACACTACTGGGACTGGAGAGACTGCTCAGTGGTTAAGACACTAGCTGCTCTTGCAGAGGGCCTGGGCTCAATTCCCAGCGCCCACACGGTGGCTCACAGCTGCCTGTAACTCCAGCTCCAGGAGCCCAACGCCCTCTTCTGGCCTCCACTGGCATTGCATCCACAAACACAGACACACAACTAAAATATTTAATTAAAATGTAATGATAGCCATGCGTGGTGGCTCCTGTCTTTCCTCCCAGCACTCAGGAAACAGAGGCAGGTGATCTCCGTGAGTTCTAGGCCACCCCAGGCTGCGTAGTGAGACCCTGCCATTCTGCTGACGCGAGGAAGGATACATTCTGAGATGACTCAGATGTAGGCCTCACTCAGCTCTGCCCCCTGTGGCAGGAAGAGGAAGCCGAATGCCTGACAGTGTCGCTTCTTGAGCAGGTGAGGAGCCTGGGCGTGGGGCCTGAGTTGCAAATCCCCTTTCTATGCAGCCCACCTGTTGCTTCCTTGTGGGGGGTGTGGAAGAACATGCTGCTGCTGCTGGACCCTGCTCTGGGTCCTTCGCATCACTGGGGGACAGACCTGCAGGAAGCTGTGGGGTACAGAGAGCACAGCTCCTGGCCCAGGCCCGGGGAGGCGGGCAGCGCCTCCTCCAGGTGGTCGTGGTGGTCTCCAGGGGAGTGAATCATTCTTGCTGACTGTCCCAAGCCCATGGATGATCACTCTGGGTCCAGACCCGGGTACCACTGGGTGCTTCCTTTGTACCTTGTATTTGTAAAGTGAACACACTGGGGACCCGACAGTCACTTAGAGGAGTAAGTGAATGAGGCCTGAGTCCTGTATTCCTGGGGAGGCAAGGCCCTCAAGGGTTAACCAGGAGCCTGCCTGTAGTCTGAGGTAGGCAGGGAGCGTATTTGTTCAGGTAAATAAGGAAGGATTACTTATAATAGGAAACCTGGCGGGCCAACTCTCTGTCTTACTTCTGACTTCCTTCCAGGGCATTCCTGCACTCTGCCTCCTCTCCACTCCGCCTCCCACACCCAGCCCCCGCCCAGCCTGCTGCTGCCCCCCCACCCCAGATTAGACCTCCTCATGGTGTCAGCAGGTGGCCCTGAGCCTCCAACAGGAGCCTGCTTATAGACCCTCAGGCCTGAGCCCTCAGACTTCCCCTCAAGGGTGGAGAGACCCTGGTGGCTCACCTGAGGGTCACCTCTGCCCCAGCCCTGCTGGCCCCACTGATGTCTGGCTGAAACACGACAGTGGTCGGAACTGCCCATTGCTTCCTCCTGGTTCCTGAGGTTAGCTCTACGGAGGACAACTCCTGGGACACCAGGTGACTAACAGGTGAGTGTGGTGGGAGGCAGTGTGCCCTTCCATAGGG